CATGCCTGGACTACCCACTTAATTATGTTTTACAACTGAAGCTAAATGCAGTTTTAATCTTAAACTATGTCCTCTTCTGTAAGTGTGTGTGTCTGTGTGTGTGTGTCTGTGTGTGTGTGTCTGTGTGTGTGTGTGAGAGAGAGCGAGAGCAAGAGAGAGAGAGAGAGAGAGAGAGAGAGAGAGAGAGAGAGAGAGAGAGAGAGAGAGAGAGAGAGAATGAGAATTAATTGTTGAAAACAGCAAACCAGTTGAAAGCAACCTTAAAGAAAATAAATAACCCACGAATGTTGGAGGCAATGTTTGGATATAGGTTGACAGCTCCTGATTGTAGTCTGAGAGCTGTTCTGGGTCAGTAACATAACTTGTTCCCTTGTAAACTCTGTGAAAGGTTTCTGTAGAAAACTGTTTTCGTCTCTCTCCAATACCATGCTCTCTTCATTGTTCAACAAATACAGAGCAAAGCTCTTTGTCAGGGACAGTCAGACAACAAGGGCATGGCAGTGCCAGCCACAGACCAAACTACAGACAGAGCACAGGGACAGTAGTGGACAATCCAAAGCTGGGCCTGCTCTTGGTCTAATGCCTAACAGAAGTCTCTCTCACTCCTGAGTGTGGTGTGCACACACTTACCTTTGTCGCTTTTACTGACTTCCTGAAGTAGCTTTATGCCAACTTTTTTCATATCCACAGAAAACAGATGTAGAACAGCAAGCCCAAAAGATAAAAATGGTGGTTTCCCATTCTTTCCATGAATAAGACATCTAATTAAGTCAATTTGGGGACATACTGTTATTAGCTGTATCAGGTCATCTGTGAGTGAAAACAGAACAAATCTCACTCTCCTGACGGGTAAGCACCTATATCTACTGTCAGCCTGAATTCTTTCCCATACCTCTAAATCTCACTTCAAGTTCAATATAAACTCAACAATATTCTCTTCAACTTTAACCAAAATAAAGAAAAGACAACTCAGAACAAGGAATATCAGGGAATATAAGTTAACTACTCTTCAGGAACAGAGATGTGTCGTGTTAACAGACAGAGGTTGGCCGTCAGGAAGTTGTCACTTCATCTTTGTAATTGTTTTCACATCTGAAATGTACCACAGTTGGAGAGAAATTTGTAAGATTTTATCTAACATTAGGTTGAGTTTTTCTTGTCTGTTTTAAAGTAATAAATCAATGTGGTTGGTTTTTTAAAAGTTATTCGTGCATACACGTGGATGTCTGCATGCTTTGTTGATCACATACAGACAAACTTCTAGAGAGTATAATTTCATCTTCCTTTTTGTGTGTTGCACAGAAAACAGAATTTAGTCACGATTTCCCTAAAAGTATCAAGTATTTGAAAATTCAAAACTGATGATTTTGAGAAGCAATTAATAAAGTTGCCCATGAGAACACATGGCTGTAATTCTAGCACTTAACAGGTTGGAGGAAAGAGAATTGTGAGTTTGAGGCCCTGGGCTACATAGTAAGAGTCTGTTTTTAAGTAATGAATCAATGTCGTTGGGTTTTTTAAATTGTTTATTTATGTTGTGCATATATGTGGGTGTGTGCACTGGTACACAGGTGAGATCAGATACATGTATGTGTGTGCACGTATGTGGATGTGTGCACATACATGTTGTACACAGGTGAGACCAGAAGACAAGGGAGAGTTGGTTCTTCCCTTTCACCTAGGGACTGAACTCAGATCATCAGTCATAGAGGCAAGCCCAAGATAACTATTTTAAATAGTCAGAAGTTGACAGCATACAATCATTTTTACTACTTATTTTAGGTGGGGGGTGGGGGTGGGGGTAGGCAACTTGGTGCTGGTGACACCAGAGGTCACCAGGCATGACCGTGCAGGAGTCAGCTCTCCACTTTTCCATCCAGTCCAGGCCACCAGCCTTCTTCACCCACTCAGTCATCTTTTGTGCCAACATTTTGCCATTTTTAACCCCAGAAAAGGAAGTTAGCATGTTTAATATGCTCTTTAAACATTAAACTTCCCAAAACTACAATT